AGATTCATTATAGACTAGGCGAGTTCAAATTGGAAAAAAATATCTTTTTCCATAAATAGTGATTGGAAATTGACTTTTTTTTCCAAGATGTTCCGCCAACTCTCTCCACTGCCTATCTGAATTAAATGCTGCCAATATCTGACTTCTTTTCATTTCAAACTCGTTCTTCATTAGATGTTTTCTATGCGATGACATAGGCCGAGTATCATCGTTGTTTAACTATTAAAAAATCAATTTCCAATCATTATCAAGTAATCAGATAATTAAAAATCGGAACACAGCGTTGCGTAGATTTTACTCTGAATTCCTTACAAGAGTCTCTATTCTTGAACGGATAAATTTGTGTCAAAGTTAAAGTTTCTGGCACTTTCATTGGTAAGACAATCAGTGAAAAGAAGAAAGAAAGAGATAGATAGACTGTATATAGTATTAAAAAAGAGAGAATAAGAGAGAGTTATTCAAAATAAAATGATTGGGGGGGGGCAACAGGGCAATTCTCGAAAGTCCTAAGAAAAGGCAGCAAGGAAATACTGAATGCATATATCAAGACAGTATGAAAAAAGATAGTGAGAGATTTTAAGCGCTGAAAGTTGAATCTAAAAAAGTATACACCTTTCATGAATTTTCTTGATTTATTGATGACTCTTAGAAGATAAAACATTTCAATAGTAAAGTTTAGTTGAATATTATTATTTTATCATGAAAATATTTAATTTTAAAGTCTTTTTAGCAAAATAATTGCTCAATCCCAAATTGAATTTGCCTAATCCATTTTGAACTTGCTAAGTCTCAAATCAAATTTGATTATTCCATTTTGAATTTGACTACTTCATTTTGAATCTGCTTAGTCCTACTTTGAATTTGCTATGTCCCAGTTTAAATTTGACTATCCCATTTGAAATTTGCTGTCCCATTTTGAATTTGACTATTCTATTTTGAACTTGGCTATTTCATTATGAATTTGCTTAGTCCCAAAATGACTTTGATTAGTTCCAAATTGAACTTGAAATGGTATAGTTAAGAAATGCCTAAAACTATGTATAGACAACCGTTTTCTTAAATCAATGATTAAAATTGGCTTCCAGTGAATGAATTTTCTAGATCTTATAGAAGAAAATCATTCATCAAACCCTATAGACTTACGCTACAGCATCGCAAAGAGCTTTAGAAAATAACAAAAACTACATTACATGGAAATTTCTAACAGTTGCAACAACTAAAGACGTTAGCACGTGTAACTCGAAGAGAAAATATAATAATAATCAAAAATAATAATATCAAAATGTAAACTTTACACAGTAGCTTAAACAAAAGGTTAGAAAGAAAACTCCTATCAATACTACAAAAAGTGATAGCAGCTATAGTAGGTATCTCCACGAAATCGCTAAAAAAGAGCATAGCTTGATGAAAAAGACGCCAACCTTGCCGAAAACAAAAATTTTATCGTCTAAATGCTTATGTTATTATTAAGAGGAAAGACCAAAGTTTGTTTTAATTATTTTTAAAAAGTTTTCATTTTTTTTTAGAACATTTTAAATTTTGATTAAAAAAACCTTGTTTCTCTTTGTATCACCGGAACTAGTAAAATAACATAGACAATTTTTAGCACGTTTTTGGTATGACACACATTAATTTGGAAAATCTTGCAAAAATAAAAATAATTGTCAGATGTTAATGAAACTTTCAGGAACTATTCACAGATGATCGAAATTATTATAAATATGTTTTTTTCATTAAAGCCATGACAGAAAGATTTTTTAGATTTATTACCACCCCCCGCTATACTTAATTTTATGAAAACGCTAGAAATTCGATCGCATCGTGTTTAGTGATGACAATAGTTAAAAGCATAAGGCTTTGAGGAATGCAAATCATTTTTTTTTTTGTTTTTAATCTAAGTTGTTAAAATATTATAAAATTAGATAAAAGCCGCATCGGGTTTCCTAAGTATCCTTATGAGATAGATCTTTTTTTAGCGCGTTGTAAATTGTATCATTTTGACTAATCAGAAGATCCGCAGTAATTAAGAAATGTAATTTTGTGTTTATAATCGGGCTGTAATTATAAACTACGGAAGACCAACCAGAATACAATTAAGTTGCGTTATTTGAGTTAAGCATTGTTTTCCGCTGTTAAGGGCTTTACTTTTGCGAAACACGTGTGGAGAAGATAATTTGATTTTTCAATTTCAACTGAGAAGGGTACCTACAAGTATCAGTATCATCTTATGAAATTTATATGATCTTATTTTTATATTAATCTCAGTTATGACATTTTTCCATAAATGAAATATCAAAATTAATAATAAAATGAATGGAAATACAAATAACACAGTAAAATGTAATAAATGTACATAAAATTATAGTATTTTATGTACACTTCTGATAAAATTTCATAAGAAAGGTACCTATAAATTAATTAGATACCTTTCTTATGAAATTTAATCTCACTCTTAACAGTCTTATTTTAATTTCTTTATATTTTCCATAAAGCATTGTAAACGTAAAGGTGAAAGCTAAGTACAAAAAAAATAGAGCGCTGAAAGTTTTCCTTAATAATAACGAGGTAAATAATTTGTTCACTTGTAAATTATTTCACTTTTCTCCTTCCGTAGAACAAATTATCCTCACGTAATTCGTCAATACGTCATTCATCACCTGTCAAGCGACGCGAAAGTTTATGACCTGCTTTGTTTTATTTTCAAATTACATCTTTTCAGCGCAGATGCTAAGTTAAGCTTGGTTAAAAATATTTTAAATAAACATTATAATTTCTGATTTTCTTAAAAAAAGTTTTGAAAAAATGATAATTGATATTTAAAAGAATTTCAAAGTGAGATTTTCAGTTTTTTTATAAAATGGAAAAAAATGGTCAATTTTGCTGACTCTAAAAAACAAGATATTTAACGAAAATTTTGGACGTGCTAAGAACGATTTAAAAATGCAAAAAAAATACCCAAAATTACTTTGATCATTCCTCTTAATAATAACATAAACATTTAGACCATAAAATTTTGTTTTCGTCAAGTTTGGTGTCTTTTTCATCATGCTATGCTCTTTTTTAGCGATCTCGTGGAGGTACCTCAGCTATAGGGATTTGAAAGAGCTATTTTCCTGAAACTTTCTGTGCGCATTAATGTCCTTTGTGCGCTGGGTTTAAAATGCGTATGCGCGTGCGTACACGTACAAGGGTAAAATTGACCAATATTTTTACCAGTGAGCCGAACGTACGTGCTCGGGTGCCACACGTTAAACAACTGAGAAGACATGGGTTAATACCAACGTTCCGCTGTCCACAGACTACGATCATGAAGTATTGGTTCCGTGGCCATGACCATCTAAGACTTTTGCCCGAACTCGCGTCTGTACTAATGATCAGGGACGCTGCGAACACACCCAAGCTGGTGGTACCTTACAAGCTCTGCGCAAAATATCTCCACCAGGCTCATGACTGTGTAAACCACTCTGGAATCAGCCGCATGCAGGAACACCTATCCAGTTACTGGTGGAATATAAAAATCGCGACATAAAGGCGTACGTCCATTCATGCCAAACCTGCGCTAAACGTAAGGGGAATTACGGCAGGCACCCAAACTGGCTCATGGGCCATTGTAGGCGAGGCAGAAAACCATTCGAGGTTGTCTACATAGATTTTGTCTCAATGCCCCTCTCAAAGGGTAAACGGTACATTCTCACTATCTTAGACAGCTTCAGCCGACATCTCATGGCCATACCATGTGCTAGAGACCGTGCAATCGACGCAGCCCGCGGGCTCTACCAGTTCTTCCTCCGTCATCGGGAGATTCCCCGCATCGTGTCCTCCGACCGAGGAACCCACTTCACCGGCGAGGTCTACAAGGATTTCTGCGACATAACATCGATCACTCGGGAACTTCACTGTCCATGGCGACCACAAAGTTCGGGAAACATCGAACGGCAACACCGGACCCTCAAAAACGCCCTCTACATCATCTGCGAAGATAGAAACTGTGAATGGACGGACGTCCTGAATCCGTAGTTTCCTCCATGAATGCCACGGCCAACACCGCCACCGGCGCATCTCCACATTACATAATCACTGGTCGTCAACCACATATCGGACTACCAAAGATACCACGTCAAGATATCATCAACAACAATCCTGGTGCTTACGGCATGCAGATAAACGCCCTGCTCCGACAGGTACACCAAAGAGTTGCTCTGGCAAACAACGAGGCTGACCACAGAATAGAAGCCAAACTGAACCATAAGATTTTCAAGGACCCGATACAGGTCGGCGACAAGGTGCTACTCTACCGACCTCAGTCCACAATAGCCCACTCATCACTTCTGCTTTTGATAGGCGACTTCGAAGTCACCAGAACTAACGATATGGTGCTCAAAGTCAAAAACAAAAACGGCGAAACCGATTGGGTCCACCGGGGACATATTCGTCGGCTCGTACCGCGACCAAATCACTTGCAATACATGAGCCGGTCACCTCCACCCCACCCCCATCCCCGCTCCACCAAATCCCCCATAACCCGTTGACACGGCCTCCTACACTTTCGTCAGGGGAGCATCATATCACAGATGACTGCAGTTCCGGCAATAATAGCCAAAACACAGCAAAACGGAAAACACGCGGGCAACTCCCAGCACGCCTCCAAGACTTCGTAATGGGCTATAAAACAAAATAAAAAAAACTAAAAAATAAAAAAAAAAAACATTCACTCGCACACACCAACAACATTACTAACAAAACATCAAATCAGGGTAAGATCTGGGGGAGCTGTTACAAGATGAGATCTTGCCCTGCTTCGATAAACGGAAGTTACCATCACGAGTCCCCGACTCGAAATGAAAACTGCACGTCTACGCATAGGCTCGACGCAGATACTTCCGTTTGGGATAAACTCGAAAAAAAAATGAAAAGAATTAAATCAACCAATCGGACCGTCTCCCGCGTATTCAAAAAATTGCCATCTGGAGCCGATAGGCGTGTATAAGAACACGGGAAAG